GGTTAACTGATGTTTACTGTACTATAATGGGAAAGGAACGAGTCGTAGTTACGATCAGAGCAAAAATACCAAATCCTTCATCAGCTTTTCAGTTTGGTAAGTTTCCAGGTTATCCTGTCACACTGAAAAGAATGAAGCTTACATTATGAAAAATAGTAACCTGAACTCTGTTGCGGGCTATTTTGAACCTTTTTAGAAGCAGAAGTTTCAATCCTCATCGATTGCAGTGAATTTCGCCTTCACCTGCCGATGTAACTCAAAAACTCCAAACCCAAACGCTCCAGCACCCAGCGATGCTAATCAGATAGCACAACAACAGATTCAACAACTTCAGGTATAGTTTGTTCTTGAGTTTTACATGGAGAACTACATCTTTTTTTCGGCATAACACTAGCAGAGTAAAGCTTGAACATCTCCCTAGGGCACGCTCGAAGAGGGTCATATTCTGCTTTAACAAGTGTACTAGACCAGAAGCGCCCCCATCACGTACTCAGGAAGCTTTATAGCCAATCATCGCACCACTGCAGTAACATCGTGCCGAAATGAGAAAAGCTTCCCAAGTAGAAAGGAGGCAACTACTTTGGTGGCAAATTATTATATATTTTTATGATTAATCTAACAAACAAATGGAACTGTTAGCGAGAAGGCAGCATAAGGCTCAGGTTTTTTAGTATGCTGCAATTCACTCTGAAGGGAGGTGAATATAATAGAATGAGGAAAGGAGATTCGATTCAGATGGATGACCGAGAAAATCTATCATCTATATGACATCAATCCCTGAACCAAATTAAATATCCCTTTAGAATGTTCAAGAGGTCCTTGTTGTGAAGGATTGACATTAAAGGGGGACAATGGTTACAAGAGGTAACCCAAGGGAATGATATAATGGACTCATTATCACCATGCATCCAATGCAAACAATTTTGATCCTTTTTGCATGAAGCAATAACTGCGGTGATGCGGTGTGGTACTTTGGAATACAGACATATCACGCCGTAATCAGCAAAGCATGAAGTGAGTCTTCTCGATAAAAAGGATTTGAAAGTGTTCCTGGAACTCT